TACTGTTGTTGTTATTGTTGTTTTATAATTGTTGTTTATAATTTGTATAATTAACCTCCCTGTGGTTCGACCCCGGTCTTGCCGGGTTATTTTTTACTTCGACACTCCTGCACTTGGGAGAAGACATCAATCTTTTAGTCGTGTCAAGCACCATCATATTAAATAATAAAGAATTAAGGTAAAAAACAAAATAATTATGTCTCATAAAACTTATATTACTAGTCAAGGTAAAAAACAAAATAATTATGTCTCATGAAACTTATATTACTAGTCTAAGCACCATCATATTAAATAATAAAGAATCATGCTTGTTATTTTGTTTTTTAGAAAAACAAATAGCAAAAGGTAAAAAACAAAACAATCATGTCTCATGAAACTCATATTACTAGTCTAAGCACCATCATATTAAATAATAAAAAATCATGCTTGTTATTCATGGTCTAAGTGTACTCTTCTTTTTTTTCCTTTTTTTTTTTACAGAAACAAGTCTTATGTAAATTAGTAGAGAGTTTGCTTCAAGAGTCTCTTTTCACCTTGTAAAAAAGAAAATATTTTTTTTCTTATATTTTTAATTCTCTATTACTTTCTTGTTATTGTTACTGTTTAACAAATATATTTATAAAGGTGTAAAGTTATAACATTTGACAGTTATTATCAAGATATAACTCTTCATCTTTTTTCTCTTATATTACCTTTGTAATATAAATAATATTAATATAGATTGGGTTCACCTATTATAGGTGATCCAAAATCATTTTTTTCTTCATATAATTTTTACAGTTCGAGAAAAATTCTAACAATTTTATTTTTAATTATCAAAACTTAATATTACATCTCTGTTAAGGTACTTGGACAATAAAATAAATATCATAAATGGAATACATAATAAAAGGATTCTAAACTAAAAAGAAAAATATCTTAAATTAACTAGAAAAATACAATCAATCCCAAATAATAATTTTTATGACTAATTTAGGGTCTTTAGCAAACTCAAAAAGTTATGAAAAATTAACCTTACAAGAAATTAGGTGTCCATAATCTCTTAGCAAAATAAAATTGCATAATTGAGCATTGAATTTAGAATCAAGCATGATATTATTATCCTCAACAACAATTAGGATGTTATTTTTTGGCAACAAACTTTTGTTAACTATACTAAAACCATATTGAAATTCTTCAAACCTCAACTTTTGACACTTGATTGTTGATAAGAAACAATAAGATGGTCCATTGATATTTTAGTGGTTGGAAATTTCTAGTACTTTGATATCTTTAAAATGAGCTCCTAAAAACTCTTTTGAAATATCAAAAAAATATTCACTTTCATGAGAAAATCCTTTTAGATCCTAATTGAAATAAGTATTAGGATTTTTACAACCCTAAAGCTCAATGACATCTTAAGTTTTTTTATTATCAAATTTTAGTGGTTGATTCCAATCCATAAATTATAATCCTAAAAAAAAAAAATGGTTTCAATATAATATTCATCCTAATCACGGCATTATCTCCTTTATTCATACCTCTGAAACAAGTTTTTAAAAACTAACTACAAGTTCATGATCACTCTCCTCACAATCCTTCAAGTTTCTTTAAGCTAATTAACAAGTTAATCCCGCAACTTACCTCTACAAGTCTCTCAACCAGTTGACAAGTTAATTTTGCAACCTGCTTTGAGAATCTTTAATTTTCATTTCATTAATCTTGTGACCTTAGACATATAGTTTCTAAGATGGAACCTTCTCATCACCTCCTACATGAACATGTTCAATCTTGCATTCGTTTTAAAACATGTTTTTTCAATAGCAAACAATAATAAACTACCAAGAATCACTTGTATTTGTATTAACTAACATAGATGGAAACAACATCAACAAATAAAAATTAAAAGGTTAATAGGAAGGGTTATATGTAAAGTGCTTTAGATATCCTAGCCATACACAATTCTCAAAATAATAGAAAAATACTATGAATTTTATTTTCAAATATCAAAACTAAATATAAAAACTCTCTTAGATTTATTAAATAATACACTAAATATCCTAAATATAACAGCTCAGTACATGGGTAGTCGGGTAAAATATTTGAAAAAGTAACAATTCATTTCATATGAACCATTTGATGCAGCTCAATTATTTTCTTCCTGAGAGTCAGATTAACGAAATGCTTCATACTTAAAACTCAATATTACATCTCTGTTAAGATACTTGGACGATACAATATATATCATAAACGAAAAACATAATGAAAGAATTCTAAACTAGAAAGGAAAAATATCTTAAATTAATTAGAAGAATACAACCAATCCTAAATAATAATTGCCATGCCTAGTTTGGGGTCTTTACCATCCTTATAAAGTTATGAAGATTTAACCTTACAAGAAATAGTGTATATAATCTCTTAGCAAAGTGAAATTGCATAATTGAGCATTGAATTTAGAATCAAGCATGATCCTATTATCCTTAACAACAACTAGGATATTATTTTTTAACAACACACCTTTGTTAATCATACTAAAATCATCTTGAAATTTTTCAAACCTCAACTTTAAATACTTAATTGCTAACAAGGAACAATAAGATGGTCCATTGATTTCTTTGTGGCTAGAAATTTCTACTACTTTGATATTTTTAAAGTTAAGAACTCTTTTGAAATATCAAAGAAGCCTTCATTTTCATAAGAAAATCCTTTCAGATTCTAAGCGAAAGAAATTTTAGGATTTTTACAACCCTCAAGCTCAATAACATCTTAAGTTTCTTTATCATCAAATTGTATTGGTTGATTCCAATCCACAAACTATAATTCTAAAAAAAAAATTCAATATTATATTCATCCTAACCACGAGGGCATCTCCTTTTCTCATGCTTTTAAAAAAAGTTTTCAAAAATTGATTACAATTTTGTGATTACTTTCCTCGTAATCCTCCAAGTTTCTTTATTCTAATTAACAATTTCATCCCATAACTTACCCTTACAAGTCTCTCAACCAATCAACAAGTTAATTTTGCAAAAAATCCTTAATTTTCATTTTATTATTGTTGTGACCTTAGATATATCATTTCTAAGATTGAACCTCCTCATTACCTCCTATATGAAGATATCCAATCTTGCATTCATTTCAAGCATGGTTTTTCAATAGCAGACAACAATAAACTATCAAGAAATAGCTGGTTTTTGTATTAATTAACATAAATGGAAACAACATCAACAAATAAAGATCAGAAGGTTAAAGAAAGGGTTATATGTAAAGTGCTTGAGAAACCCTAGCCATATACACAATTCTCACAATAGTAGAAAAATACTTTGAATTTTATTTTCAAATATCAAAACTACATATAAAAACTCTCTTAGACTTATTAAATAATACACTAAATGTCCTAAATAAAACATGAAAAATAATAAAAACATTCTAAACTAAAAAGAAAACAAAATTATTAAATTCACTAAAAAAATATAACTATCCCTTACAATAATTTTTAAGTTCAACTTGAAAGACTTATCTACCTCGTATAGTTACAAAAATTTAACTTACAAGCAACAGAGATTTAAGAATCGTAGAAAATTTTAGTGTAAGAGTACGTGTTTCAAGTCCAATTTATAATAATTGCTGAAAACATGCTTTTCCAATGAAGGGACTTTAGTATAAGAGTAAGTGCTTGGAAAAAATCTCCAACATCATATATTCATATCCAGCAACCCCACAAGCTTAAATAAATTCAGCTTTCAAATTACAGTCTATAGGAGTGAGAACCAGACTGTAAAGAACCCAAAAAATCTTGTAATAGGTGACCTTCAGAAACATTAAGTTGAAATTTATCCCTCACAATTTAATAATATTATGAGAAAACACATAGAATTTCAAATGCACTTTGTAACAACTTGTGGATGCAATGACATGGCTCCAACATGTTACAGATTCTTGTGAACAAATTTGGAGTTTTATGATGGACATCATTCTCGTACTGCTGTGAAGATTTCAAAGGGGATGGTAAAGTGCTACAGTGACATGTCATCATCACATCAAAATATGTCGTATCCAAGAGTTGAAAACCAAATTATACGAAGGAAATTTCCAGCCTTTACTAGAACCATGTGAAACCAGTACAAGTCTTGTCTATACACGCCAGGTTAAAGTAAAATTCCATAGTAACCGAAGCAGTTAAATTCAAGTATGTTTTTTTATAGGAATTTAAAAATATATTAAAAAAATTTAAATTTTTTTTTAACAATATATCAAAACTATTAAAAAATACTAAAAAAATATTAATTTAATATTTTTCAACTTAAACTATATGATTCCAAACACACAATGAAACTCAAGTCCAAACAGTCTTCATCGACCGGAAATAAAAAAAGTGAAGCAAATCTGACAGATGCATGTGAATTTTATGCTTGTAATCTCCATTTCTTCAATCATATTCTCAGTCTATCCACAAATCATGTACTGCTCTTGCATGAAATCTACAGAACAGTGAGGTAGAAATCAGTTCTCGGAGCAAAGGACATTGCAGGGTTGCTGTAGTGAAGTTCTATGGTTACTCAACGAGTCCAGGAAATATTCATATTGTACAGCAAAAGATCTTACAGTATGAACAGTTTATCAGCATAGCTGTTCGTGAAAGTTAGCCCCACGCCACTGAACAGGCATAGTTGACCAGCAGTTTACCATCAACGCCGAAATTCTGAAATGATGAAGTTAAAAGAGGGTGATTCAAGGACATATAAAGCAATTATGCATCTAATAAAAAATGACTTTAACCAAGGTTAGGAGCAACTCAGTGATAGGAAGAAAAAATCAAAATCCAAACAAACCAACTTTTTTTTTTAAAAAAAAAGATCTTAGTTATGTTATGTTCACCAGGGAAAAAAAAACACTAAGAAATTCAAGAGAACTTCATTGAACCTTGTTCGATGAGTGAACCATCTGTCCACTGCCACATATAATTTCTGAAATGCCAGTCTTAATTATTATTATTTTAAAAGAATTAGGCAATGATACATCACAAGCCATGTTCATCAGAGTTGAGTACAGATTAGTACAATTGGCTAAAAGGGCAAGGACAGAAACCACAGGGAGAATGTACATCTATTGTCATCTGCATGGAATATTTGTGCTCGAGGACACAGCTCGGCACATGGGTAGTAGGGTACAATATTTGGAGAGGTAACAATTCATTTCATGTGAACCATGTGATATATAGCTCAATTGTTTTCTTCCAGAGAGTCAGATTAACAAAATGCTCCATACTTAAAACTGGTAGCGCGTTGATAAGCAAATGTCGCTTGTTCCAAACTTAAGCACAATGAACAAATAAGTAATAAAAGAATCGTCTTGCCCAAAATCACCAGTCTACACATAACTGGGTTGCAATTACTTCGACTTTCATAATTGTCACCAGAAAAATAAAATAAAAAATAAAAAAATTAGTGCTCTGACAATGCAATCTGGGTCTGGGACAGCATAATTGAACTTAAAATTTAACATGAATATGTATGAGCTGAAAACCAAGTAATATTTTTAAAATCAGCAGCGATCTATAACAGCAACAACTAATGAGAGAACATAAAATAAATAAAACAAAAATAACTGCTACAAAAACTTACATTAAACAGATCGATCACCAATTCATCTGGATTTGGTGAGAATGCGCTGTTGATGTATACAAACTAAAGAACAAGGAAGAAACAGAAAGCTTCACTATCCCAGAAACCCACTTATTTTTAATTAACATACTAAATTGGAGAGAAATCAACATCAAAGATAAGCTACCACGGTCTCCCTGTGAATTTGCCGACGCAAAAAGTCAATCACTTTAGCAAACTTATCAGTTCCAAGCATCTGCCACATTCACTCAATGTGTATAAATATCATCATATAATAATGAAATGCAAGAAAGTTTTAGTTGCCAAAAAAAAACCAGTATCTGGAAACGTTAAGCCAATTGTTGTATGGGAAACAGTTCAACTTCCAGTTATTCTGATTTTAAAAAGTATTTCCAAAGCAATTCAGCGAAATGTTTTCTGCTGAAGCATAAAAGCCCTGTCCCATTGATTATGCTCTTCCTGGGAGTTCTACGTTATAGCAGTCAAATTGTTCTCTAGAAGAGCAAAAGAAAGTTATTAATGAAGGGTGTGTTTCAACTTGCAGTTTGTCATGCAACTTGTTTCCAAGCTTCAAGTTCGTGGCCCAATGGCAATGACTACAAGGCACACATAAACTCTATTTATAATTGCGAGAAGAAAAAAAAAACCTATGATCAGTTCTATTATGTGTGAATTTGACCCTAATGTTGTGGCTCGTCTCGCAAACACAAATCAAGCTCAAGGACACGCACAAACCTAAAATCATACAGTAATCATCACACCTGCTATGCAGACATGTTTCTAATTGCATAAAGCTCAATGGCATAAACATGATCGCATTCATATGCAAAAATCTACAACCAAAACAACCAAAACATAGTTCCCCAATGAAAATTCAAAATTCCTCCTGCATAAAACCTTGTTCTTCCCCAGAGTACTTTTGCCTCAACTCATGCTACCTACAATTATTTGCTTGAAAAAATTTTATTCAATGATATTCCAGCTTATACCAAGATAACAAATTGGCAAGATCTTCCCTCTATTCCTTCTATCTCTATGATTTTATACTTATTTTTACCAGCCAACATTATTATTTATAAGCATCTAAATTTTATCCTTATTAGACAAACCCACAAGCATAGAAACACAGAAATACAAAACCCACCAACAATTCATTACGTAACACATGTATAAATTTATGTAGATATGAGTGGGGGGGAAAAAACTACACCTTGAACTTCTTTTGCTTGAGAATAGGCGCATCAGCAGTGGCTTTTAACTGAATAATCACTGCATCAAATCGAAAACATAAATTTTAATAAATTAAAAAAAGCATTATTGATGAGTATTTATGAATGGGTATATAACTCCTTCAACTTTTGACTCACCTTTTCGAGCAGAATCCTGTGATTCATTCTCCATGTTGCAATGAGCTTAGAATTTGGAAGCTCCAAGAGTTGAAACTTACAAGTCAGTGATTTTGATACGTCCACGAAAGGTTTTGCTGTTTCCAATATTTCAATTGTAGAACGTGGGCCAAATCCAAATTTAAACATCTTTTGGGCTCAGCTCTGTTATTGTAGCTAAATGTAAGGCCCATGTATTCTTGCGTGAATTTTGTTATAATAAAATTTGATTGATTGTTATGTTATTTAATCTTTAATTAATTATTATTACACCGTATGTTATATGTCATATAAGTTATATTTTTGGAGGTCATATTTTTAGTTTCCACTTTCAGAGTATAATAATTAAAAAAATATTGTCCTTTATTATTTTCTAAATTTACTAAGACTATAACAAAATAAAAACAAGTAGGTGAAATTAATCATATATTAAAAACAAAAATATGTATTTATCAAATTATTCCAAATAAAGCTAAAACAGAAACTTTGGTAAGAAAAAAAACCCTTATAAATATAGATGAATCCTACTGAATGATTATAAGTTTTATTTAAGAGTTAAAACAATTATAAACTCATAAAACTTGGAATTGTATTTTTTTAATTATCTTTTTAAAATTATATATTATGTTTTTTGTCTAACTATTTCTCTTTTAACATTTTTTACCTTTTATTTTTCTAAAAATAAAAAAGATATTAATAGTGAAGAAATTACTATATAAGATTTTACAAATAATATTGATGATTGAAAAATTTAAAAGTTTAAAATAATTAGAGTTATCAAAATTATTTTTTTAGTCTTTTCAAAAATCATTTTACAATAAAAATGGAAGAAATTGATATATAGCTTACAAAACTTTTTAAAACCATTTAATTCCAAAAAATCCTTACAAAAACATCAAGACTAAAATTATAAATATATTCATAATAGTCTCATACAAGTTGAATTCAACCATTTATCAATAAAAATCTAAATACTTATATTCTAGTTGTCCTCAAAGATTCTAAAATTTTAAAGATTCATTACTGAGTTCTATAGAATCTAGATTATGTGGTGGTTCTTTTTTTTTTTATTGTTATCTAAACATTACTATATCTTTTAATAACAGACATCCTACAAAATGATTCTACTGAACATGTTTTTTATTTTTGCTGGTAAACATAAATTCCAATTCTAGAAAGATAAAACTTTGCTTCTCCAAATAAACCTTTCTAAATAAAAAACAATTGTACCCAAATTTATTCAGTGGAAACCCTACCAGAAAATTACATCTTTAAAGTTATCATTCAATCATAACCTTTACAAGTATCATAACCAAATATCCAACTTGAACAAATAACATTGTATAGAGATGGTAAGGTTAAATTGTCCTTTAATAAACATTTAACTAGTTCTAGATTCTTAGATAAATCTACTATATCCAATATAATAAATCTTAGAAGAATTTATGAAATTCCCTCTATTATAAACATATCTTGCCACATAAACACATATAAGAAATTAACCTATAATATTTCTATCATCAGTTTTTAAAATACAAATTATACTACAAATATGCCTAAGCCATTATATAAAAATAATGTTTTTAAAATACAAATTATACTACAAATATGCCTAAGCCATTATATACAAATAATGACCAACCATTTCCATTAATCTTTCCAACATTATCTTCTATAATAGAGAATATTCTAAATGAGTTTAATGTTCTTCAAATAGATTTTATTGTAAATAAAAATATATTTTATTGATAATTTTTATGACAACCCTAACTCTGAAAATAGATCTTGGTTTTTTTATAAAAAATATGCAATAAAAAAAGGAAATATAAAAATATTTTTATGATTTTGTTGCATTATATAAAATGCAAATCTTATTCTTTGATTGGTTTGAAATATATTATATGTCTGAAAATCATATTGCATATCTATTTGCAAAACATGCATGTCTCATTACATTTAGAAATAAAACCCTTATTTAAGAGTTTGTAAATAATACTCCCATTAAGTTTGAGCATCCTCCTTGGAGAAATCTTAAAATCCCTCACAATAATAAACAATAAAAGGTACTCCTTACAAATCCCCAAATAAAGATGTTACCATCAATACCAAACACACCATCCAGCAAAGTTTTTTACAAATACCATCCTTAACACCATAAGAAAGCAATTAGCAAAATAAAAAATTTAAAAAAACATATCTAGAAGTCTTTAGTCTTTCTTATCAAAGTAGTAGGATGTCACTATTAAGTATTGAAGATCACCCACAATGCTATGATAAGAGGCAAAAAAGCTAAAAGAAATGATTTTTTTAGCCCGGAAAATTGATTCTTAAGTTCATTCATCAAAGCTTGTTGACCAAACACTTAAAAGCTTAGTTTTCAAACTATATCAAGTTACCAATACCAGCCAAACCCTATTACAAAACAATAAAAAAGAATTCCTTAAAGTTATCAAAGATCATTTTAAAACTTCATCTTCCACTTTAATTGCTTTTAACACACCCCAAATTAGTAACCAACCTTTACAAGTCTTATCAACATTATAAAAAATAATCAAATCCAAACTTTAGATGAAGAACCTTTTCTGGAAGAAAGTCCTAAAATCAACAAATTGATTTGGAGAAACCTTGAAACATATATTGCTCTAAATATAGCAATATAAAATGAACCAACCATTATAAACTAGCACCTTATAACAAATGACTATGATTGCCAATGCTTATAAAACTCAAATTAGAACCCCAAACAAAGCTATAGTTAAACTATTTATCGCTGGTTGTTTTGGCTAGTTAAAAAGATGGTGAGATTATCATCTTACTGAAACACAACACCTTAAAATTTTAAACTATATCAAAATAACTGAAGACTAAATACCTATCCTAGAATCTGATGGAAACACCGTTTAAGATGTAGTTTCAACCTTTGTCTTAAAAACAAAAAAGTTGAACTTTTTTCAAAGCTTAGATACCAAAAACTTAGTAATTTTTAATGGTATAAAAAAACTTTTCTTACTCGTATCATGCTCCAAGAAGACTTAAATCAAACATTCTAAAAAGAAAAATTTATTGTTGGTTTACCAATTTTTCTAGGAGAAAGAGTCAAAAATAAAAGCAAAAACACTTTTTTTCTTACAAAAAACCATTCTCTATAACCGGTTGACTTATGATGAGCTTATTAGTTTTACATAAAAGAAAGGTCTTTAGATATGTCAAGACCTTAAACTTCGAAAACATTTTAAATAAGAGATGAGAAGATCTAAACAAGAACTAGGTAGTTTTTATCAATAGTTTAACTTATCCATATAGAAGCTAAACTACGATGAAAATTATTCCAAGCCTAACATAAAACCTAACAAACTCCCTCATAAAAAATCAACCCATAAATACAGGAAAGCTTTTAATACTAAAATTAATCCCTATTATAAAAAACCAATAAAAAGCCCACAAAACCTTCTCATTCAAAACCTTGGCCTAAATTTATACTAAAAAATATTATCTGTTACAAATATGACCAAAAAGGTCATACCTTTAAGTTTTGCCAAGTAAATATCAAACTTCATAAATTTTAATTAGAAGAATGATTCATCTATCATATCAAAACCCTTTTGATTAAAACCATTGATTTTGAGACAAACTCTTCTAACATTTCTGAAAAATCCTTCCAAACAGATGAGTTAGGAACATCCAGTTCTGACTTAGAACATTCAACCCATATTATCTAAAGGAAGCGAGTGCATTACAACAAGAACACAACCACTTTAACAAATGAAGAGAAGTATCTTCAAAGCAAGATAATTCTCTAGTTTCTTCTTGAGATAACCAACCTTTTAAGGGTAATACCAAGATCCCATCTAATTGCTCAAAAAAATTATATTGGTGAAACACTTTTTCTTTTGACTTCTTCACCAATGACTAAGAACTAAGGGCAAACTTAAACTTTCTTGAGAAGATTAGATTTAGTTTTATAATAAAGAATGAGGTATTTCACCATCAAGCTATTAATACTATAATGTCATAATAAAAATAAAAGATTTAAAATAAGAAATAGGGTATTAGAAAGTTAAAAACGATAAATAGTGATGAAAAAGATGGATCATTCATAACAATAAGGGTGATTAAGTCTACTTATCAAATATAAGATAGAGAAGTAAAACATTCTTATACATGGATGACACTCTAATCACTTAATGATGTACTTCAATTAAAATCTCTTATACTAGGTTGTCTTTAAATCTCCAGAATAATACGATATATCTTTAAGATTTATATCCTATATAAATCTTAAAGAAGTTTTTATGCCTTATTTTTCTCAAGATTATTTCTCCAATTTAATCTCTATTATTTGATCTTTTTCAAAGACATGATCAAAAGATTGATGTCTTCTTCCAAGTGTAAAAATGTCGAAGTAATAAATAACCCGGCAAGACTAGGGTCGAACTATAGGGAGGTTAATTGTATAAAGTAGAGATAACAGTAATACAATAACAACAATAACAAGAACAATAGTAACAATAATTACAAAAATAATAAAGTAGTAGTAGTATTAATAGTAATAATAATAATAATGATAATGATAATAATAATACTAATAATTGATTAGTACTTAAAAGTATATTTTATCAAGGTTTTATATTATCATTTTGCACTTGAAGTATCAATAACTCTCTCTCTTATTTCTTCTTCTTTTGTTTTCTTTTTCCTTTTATTCTATTCCTACACGTGCATGAGAGTGTGATCACGTACATCAAATGGAAGACTTTGTAGGGTATCCTCATCATTTTTAGAAAATATGGCCGAAGAAGATAATCAATCACTTCATAATGAGAATAATCGTGCTAGAACACTTAGAGACCACATGAATCCCACAAGAACAAGTGCACCATCATGCATAGTTTTTCCTCCTCATGCATCTCATTTTAATTTTAAACCAGGCATTATTCAACTTTTACCTTCTTTTCATGGCTTAAAATTGGAAAATCCATACTTGTATTTAAGGGAATTTGAGGAGGTTTGCAACACATATAATAATTTAAATTATAGCATGAACACCATCAAATTAAAGCCTTTTCCTTTTTCATTAAAAGATAAAGCTAAAACA